ATTAAAAACATGTTTTAAATAAAAATTCACCAGACACAGACACTCACCTGAAGTTTCTGTTAAAGTTTCATAATTTTTAAATGAAAGAAACTGATTTATTTATATTTTGCCTAATTGTGTTTTTTTTTTTTTGCTACTTCTATAAATTATTGTTATTTTGGTCCTAAAATACCTAAATTTCCACTTATCTTTATCTTTTTGTCCATCTGATGATGTAATTTTCAAATATTAAATGACTAATCGTTTGATCAGTTACTCAGTACGTGAGCAGACTTCGTACCAAATACTTTTTCACTCTTACTTCAGTAATTTCTTGGATGTCTACTTTTTACTTTGACTTGAATAAAAATATGTTAAAGTATTGCTACTTTTACCTGAGTAAAAGTAACCATCAGGCATCAGCATTGTTTATTTATTTTAGGTTTTTGTTTTTTTATTTTGTATTTTCAAAGTTCCTGTCAATTTTAAACAATTTTTTAACTCAAAAACACGATAAACACCCCCTGCCTTCAGGCTTAGCAAGTTTCCTGGAGGAAACCTTCTTTATTTTTAACAAATGTATTTCTTCTCTTGATTTAGTTCTGCATAAAAAACCCAACATCACAAACTGGTGTAAAAATGGATCCCAGCCTAAAAGTTGACTCATTTGTCAACGCTGCGGTCCAGTCCACTTGCCTTCAGTCCTGTCTAGACGCCACAGAGAGACACTGATCCATGCTTTTATCACCTCATGCCTGGATTACTGTACCTCTCGTTTGACTGGATTTCATCAGGTGTCCCTCTCACTGCTACAGTACAAAATGTGTCTCTTCAACTCGTGCAAGCCAACGAAAGCACATAGCTGTGGTTCTTGGGTTCCTTTACTGGCTTCCCCTTCAGTTTAAAGTAAAACAAACTTTTTTTTCATGTTGTGTAGCAGTTAAATTTTGCCTCAGAACCAAATTAAGAGCAAAATAAAACTTACTCCTTACATTTTCCTTCTTATTTTGAGAAGTTTTTAATTTAATTTATTAGGAGTGCGACTCAACCAGAACCAGTTTAAAAACAAAACCTCCAGGGATGCGCTACTATCTTCACTTTAAAAAAATGTAAACATAACAATCAGTTCATGTGGAAAACAAGTGATTTGAATTAAGATAAGATGTAAATCGGAGAGAAGGTTTCCGGATGAAAGTGCCACTTGGAGCAGTGGAGAAGCTGTTTTTAGAAACCACAATCATCGAAAACCCATCCAACAGATCAAGGTTTGACCCCACTGTGTAATCTCAGCTCTGCATGCACATAGACACACACATGGTTCATATCACACCTCGCTTCCATCTGAAACACTTGACTCAAGCTTACCTTCTTCTGCTTTTTCCAAACTAAATCCGGTAAACATCCGATTCCCGGCAGGGCGGTTACCTATCGATCTGTTTTCCAGCTCGTCTTCCTCTCTCTGGGTCCGTCTGCCGTCTTCAGCTTTGCTTCTCTGACTGAAACATGAGAGGTCAGGTAGTGTGTCTTCTTAGACGCACACACAGAAACACACACACACACACACACACACACACACACACACACAGGAAGCCACATGCTCATCAGTTCCCTGCTAATCATTTTTTCCCTCCGGTCTGATGTGACCTGGGTTTAGTTAGTGTCATTTTTTTTGAGAACTAAAACCCAAACCTCTACCAGAACCACTTGGCATCAAACCTCCTCTCACAGACATCACCACCTCAGACTGGGGCTTTGGAGGATCTGTCTGCGTCATATTCAGCTTCAATATTATCCTTGTCATGTTTATGATTTGAAGTGCAGCAACAGTCAAAAAGAGAATGAGGGAGTGAGATTAATTAACACAACTGCTGAACTTAAAATAAAACTGAAAAGAAACTGAAAACCAGCAAGAATGGCCTGACAAAAGAATAAAGTAAGAGTGTTGTCATGTCTGTTAGTCTGATAAATCACAACATTTGTTACATTTTCAGCTGCTGCAGTTCTCTTTCTCACTGCATTGTGTCAAACCAACCAAACCCTAAAAAACAGTTCCCCTCCTCGCCTGCGGTGGAGCTGCAGCAAGAACCACAGAAGGAAACGACACAAAAACCTCTAAGGAGGACAAGAGCGCAACTACACGAAATGTAAGCAAAAATGGACTAACATCAGATTTTAGCGGTTGTACGATTTCTCTTTTGTCATTTTTAAAAGAATAAGCGATTTCTCCCGCTAGAGCTAGCTAAACTCGCGGGGTTTTTTTTGGTGGAATTTACCCAGAATGCCCTGCTCTACAATCCACTTCCTGCTTTTGGAGCGGTCTTGTTTACATAATGCATTTGAACCGCACCAGAGTTCACTTCAGCCGAACAGAGTCCTGGGTTTTCAGGTGGACCACAGTTCATTCATATCTCCCCAAACAAACTGACTGGATTTGGATTAAAGCGGACTAAACTGGGCTTGTGTGAATGCAGCCTTAGAAACCAAACACAAAGGAATTAAACTGGTATGGAAATACCTTTGGAGCAATAACGAGTGCAGAGAAATAAATTAAATTATGCAAAATCTAACATACATAAATAAACAACAAGGAAATGATCCATTACTAGAACCAAACTACATTTTTTAAAAACTGTCAGCAACAGAGGAGATTCTCATCTTTAAGGAACCAACAGACATCTTAGCAGTGTCATAGTTAAAAAGTCGGAATCTCAACATGGTGACGCCCATAGACATTGTTTGGTTACGAACATAATCTTAAGCTTTACTTTTAGATGCAGTCTGTGTCTTGTAAAATAAACATGTTTCCACCACTTCGTACTGCTGCGAATGCAAGGAGCAGTTTTATTGAAATGCGGAGGGCCTCAGAAGTCATAACCAGTTGCTCCCAGTTTCTCAGTGGAAAATCTGATTTTGATTTGGAGGACCTTTGGAAAAGGTCCAGCTAAATTCACACCTCATTTGTTTTTGCATTTTATCAGAATAAAAATATGAATGTGTTATGTTTAATTTTCTATTACTTTAATGGATGATATAATGCAGGCATGTTTATACAGTGGTAGTTTCCACTTATAAATAGGAGGAACTTTTAAGATGTTGTCGAATGCTTTTTTTTATATCTGATTTGTACATTTCCTTATCTGTTGCTGTCTTTAATGCACATTTTAATAACCATAAATCCAAATATTCAATAATAAGCATCTACAATGTACCATGTAATTTTTTTAAAAAAAACTTAAACTCAAGGGTTAATAAAATGAATGGAGGTCAAACTAAAGTTGTTGATGTGAGTTTTGCTCTTCGTCCACTAGAGGGAGCACTAGTCAACCACACTGGTCTGGTCCAGCATCAGATAAGTAGAGTTTTAAAGTAAAAAAGTAAAAGTACTTTCTTACTGTACTTAAGTAGATTTTTCAGGTATCTGTACTTTATTTGAATATTTATTTTTCTGATGCTTTTTTAACTTTTACTCCCTACATTTTAAGATAAATGTCTGTATTTACTCCTTACATTTTCATTTATAGCTTGTTACTTCCATAATGAAAATTAATTACGAGGAGTCAAATCAAATCATAAAAAATCCACATCTCACACAAAAAGCATTATAGTGTCAGTAATTCTCCATTCAGTTGGATGCAGCCAGAGCAAAGCAGAAGAAGAACAAACTGTGGCATGAGCAAAACAACATGGATGGAGACTTTAACCTGAGTAACTTCGCAAACAACAGAAGACATTCCCCATTTTTCACCTTATTTAAAAAATCCTGATACAGTCTGGTGTAAATGTATGTATATATATATATATATATATATATATATGTGTGTGTGTGTGTGTGTGTGTGTGTGTGTGTGTGTGTGTGTGTGTGTGTAAATCAATTTTCACTGTGTCTCTAATTTATTCTAAAGATAAACTATTGTTTTTAAAAATTTACATTTTGAAAACTTAAATACCTTTTCTTCAGTCCTACATTATATAAAATGTTACTTTTATCTAATTTATTGTAAAACTATATTAGGGATGAACTACAAAACATATAGTGCTATTAACATGAGTTTCACCCATGGGTGTCAAACCCAGTCCTCAAGGGCCGCTGTCCTGCAGTGTTTAGATGTGCCACAGGTAAAAAACAGTGGAATGAAATGGCTTAATTACCTCCTCCCTGTGTAGATCGGTTCTCCTGAGCCTTGCTAATGACCTAATTATTCTTTTCAGGTGTGGTGCAGCAGAGGCACATCTAAAAGTTGCAGGGCAGTGGCCCTCCAGGACTGGAGTTAGACGTTGAGATTTGGACTGTTTTGGGGTCCGAACGGCGCCATGCTTGCTATTTAAGAGCGTGAGGCGCATGCGCTAGATAGCTTAATGACGCGACGTGAGTATTTAATGAAGACGCGGTTCGCACCTGGCCGCAGGAGACATCAAACCAACGTGCTGACATACATTCATTCTGGAACCCGGATTAAAAAAAAGACTTTTCTGATCTTCTAAGACGCTGAATCCGAGTGGACGCCCAACTTGAATAACTGAGAACTTTTCTGGATGTACCTAAAATTGTCTCCTTGTTGAATGAGCCTGGCAGGTTGGTGTCCACCTGCTAGAGTGGACGCGACTAGGGCGCAGGAGCGCCATGATTGAAATCGCTGCGTTTGTTATTCGGTAAGTTATTTTTAGGATACCTTATTCTTAATTGTTTGCTTCTTCCGTCATGAAAATATTGAAGCCGTTTTCTGTGTTTAAAACGGCACCAGAGGAGGAGCGACCCGGCCATGGCGTCTTGGCGGCAGTTTGATTGCTGGCGTCCCGGAAATATCTGAGGAATAAAAATGGCGTCTGGAATTGGCAGCAGATCGATAATGGATATACCTAGGGTGATCTACAATCAAGTTGAGGATCGCTTCAAGCTGCCTGGGGGATCCGCCCGACCCATCAAAGGTTGGTTAGGTCAAGCAACTGTTCGATGTCGGGTCCAGAAGACATCTCAGGGTAGGAGCTGCTGGTTTTGCTGCTGGTTTTGCTGCTGGTTTTGCTGCTGGTTTGCTGCTGGTTGAAGGCCTATGCTAGGCCTCTTGCTCTGCTGGTTTGGTTTGGCTCTCTGCTGAGTCTGAGCTGAGAAGGATTCTGCTGGTTTAAATCCTTATGGTTTTGTTTTTATACTTCAGTTTTTGAAACAACTGCTGTGGTCATGTTGACCTGTAGAGGTTTTAGTTGTTGGGATCTTAAGTTCATGGTTGAAAGTAGAGTTGTGAAAGAAAGAAGGCTGCCATGGATTTGGCAAATTCAGTTTAGAGGTTGCAGGAAGTGATTTAGCCTAGGCATAATAAATATCATGACTTGACATCGATAACATACCTACATATTTAATGTGGCTGTGTTGTCGTATTAACATAGGTGCTTTAAGATGATATTTATCTTTTTGATGAATATTATCTAATTTTTGGGTGAAAATAAGGTCTTACATTTCTACATACCTTTTTTATTTTTTGTGCCTACTAAATATTTAGTTTCAAATTTTATCTAAATATTTCAAAGGCAGGGTTCATACTTTAATAATTCAATAAATCAAACAAATTTTATTTACGTTAATTTAAAACACCGTGAAAACCGATTTTATTTTTGCGCGGCCTCTTGCGATTTCATCTTGGAATTTCATTTCTTCTGGATGACAACGGTCAGCGGAGAGATCTACTGGAGCTGCAGGTCGGAGGTCACAGAGGTAATGTTCACACTGTCTAATCAATCTCTTTTTGCAGGTTTTCAGCTGCAGTTAACTCCATGTTTGTCTTCTAGAGAGACTGGGAGCTGTGTTAAGTGTATGTTTTAACCCCAGTTTCTCTCCTAGACTAAGCAAATGGTTGACCTTTTGTTGCACCCAACTGTTTCCCCCCATTCTCCAGCCTTTAAAATCACAGTTAAGCTGTTTCTTTCAGAGATGAAGTCACCAAAAAGGAGCTTCTTCTGCAACTAACTCAATCTTCTCCTACAGAAATACCCCTGAAAAATCATCTTTTTCTTCTGTCCTCTTTTTCTCTGTCCTTTCAAATCCCCCGGGGGTAGTGATAGATGGCCTTTAATACAGAACCACCACCTGGTTCTGCTGGAGGTTTCTTCCTGTTAAAGGGAAGATTTTCCTCTCCACTGTCACTACATGCATCCTCAATATGAGGCACTGCTTTAGCTTAACTTTCAACCAATTTAAATAATTGGTGCAACGTTGACCTCTTTAAGTCTTCCTCTTAAAGGGAAGTTTTTCTTCATTGTCCTCATGCATCCTCAGTATGGTGATGGAGAATGGTTTTGAGCTCATGGTTGAAAATTTAAGGCCTTGTCAACACCACAAAGAATATGGACTGAGAAGATGTAGAAGCCGAATGTGGATATCAAAATGGCTGCCATGGTCCTGGACTCTGAACCTAAGGAAATGTGGTTTGCTACTTCCTGAAGCCATTCCTCGAGGCTTTGAAGTCATCAGATGAGTTCAAGGAAATTGGTAACGGAGTACAACGTAGCAGTTAGTTATTCCAATCAGGAAAAACACGGTAGGTTATATGTCCTGGTTGCTACTGGGTACAGCAACCAGGACAACACAGTAAATGTGTGGAACAGCAATGACGACAAAGACCAACGACACATAGGGAAAAATTCCTTCAGATGACCGACGGCCGACTGTACCTGACATTGACAGACGGAAAAGGCCCTAATCGCCTGCGGCTGTTGGATGACCTCGGTGACCCTTCCATCGGCTTGGCAGTCCTCCTCAAGAAATGCTGCAGGTATTTTGCTGATAAAGTGATTTTTACAAGTACGAGTTTTTGAAAAGGGAACATTTCTTTAAAATTTGCCAAGTTGTTAAAGGGTTTGACTTGAAACCTACACCTATTCTGTTGTCCTACAGGAATCCACCTGGGTCATCTTTTCATCTGATTTCATCCTTAATCAACCCCCCACTGATGGATGGAAAGGCCCTCATCGCCTGCTGCTGATGGATGACCTCAGTGACCCTACCAGCACGCTCGGCAGGTTTTCTGGAGGAAACCCTGGAAGTGTTCCCAGGTGAGCAGGTAAGGCAGATGCTTCCTGATCCACTTCTCCATTTTGACTTAAAACCAGCACCGGTCTTGTCCTTCAGGAATCCTTCTGCTTCATCTTGTTTTAGTCTCCAATTTCACCCCTCGTCGTCCCCATCGACCGATGGAAAAGGCCTTCATCACCTCCCTCTGCCCTGCTGATGGATGACCTCAGTGACCTTACCTCATCGGCATCTGCAGTCTTCCTCAAGAAATGCAACAGGTATTGGCATCACACTTGACTCAGAATGTTTTTGAACATTAAGTTAAAGGTTTTGACATGAAATCTGCACCCGTCTGTTTTCTTTCAGGAATCCTCCTGGACCTTCACCAAAGGATGGATAAGACCTTCATCGCCCCCCAGTGGATGGAAGGAAAATGACAGAACTTGAAACATTTAACAAGCTCAGTTTTTCTTTTTCTACAAAAAACTGGATGAGTCTTCAGTGAAATTGAAAAACAATTTTGTTTAGAGACTTCATAATTCATTTTATTGTTTTGGTTTATTTATTGTACATATTTTAAATGTTTCAGTGTTGAATGTTGTTTATTAATCTTGGACTGTTTTAGATTATCCTGCTCTGTGTAATTATGCAGGTGTAGGATTAGATTACTGGAGAACAAATCTGTCACTTTTCTCATTTTCTTTTTCTACTTCATGTATTTCAACGGTTAACTTTTTGTTTTCTGTTTTCCTCTCCATAGAAGCTCCATCTGGTCTGGTTTTCTGATTGGCTGTGGTTCCTTCCTGCAGGAGGGGATTGGCTGGCATGATGCTGCCATCACCTAACCATTCTCTCTCGTTGACGTTCCACTTCGATGAATGTAGAAAGTTCTCCAGACCAGCTGACCTGTTGTCTCTGCTCTGTCTTCTCTTAGTTCCAGTCCGTCGTGGCAAATGGCTGCTGGGTCTGAGCCCGGTTCTGGTTCCGCTGGAGGTTTCTTCCTCTCAACTATCGCTACATCCATGTTCGGTCTGAAGGATTGCTGTAAGGTCAACGACTCAACATGAGAAACTTGCTGTCGCCCCTGCTGGTCAGGAGGAGTGACTGCTGTAAGTCAATGACTCCATGCAGTCTGCTGGGTTTCCTTTGGAACAAACTGTTTAAACTACTTTAATAATTAACTAAGCTTATTGTACTGTTAACTAATTGGAATGTACATGGTTCAACTAAAATGATTTCAAAGTGCATTGAGATGACTTGTTGTGAGTTGGCACTATAAAATTAAGCACTTAAACGACCAAAAACTCCCCCAAAACCTATACCAAAAACTCCCCCAAAACCTATACCAAAAATTCCCCCAAAACCTATACCAAAAACTCCCCCAAAACCTATACCAAAAATTAAACATCAAAATATTTTTTATTTATAGTGTCATTTCACAGCAGTGTCATCAAGGCATTTTAGAAAGTAATTTTAATTCATAGATTCCAATTGATCGTAGTTATCAAAGCATCAACTTTGGTTAAAGTAGTTTAAACGGTTTGTACCAAAGAAAACCCAGCAGACTGCATGGAGTCATTGACTTGCAGCAGTCACTCCTCCTGACCAGCAGGGGCGACGGCAAATCGCTCGTGTTGAGTTGTTGACCTTACAGCAATCCCTCAGACTGAACATGCATGTAATGACAGTTGAGAGGAAGAACTCCACTCTAACGGGAAGAAACCTCCAGCAGAACCAGAACCGGGCTCAGACCCAGCAGCCATTTGCCATGACTGACTGGAGCTGAGAGAAGACAGAGCAGAGACAACAGGTCAGCTGGTCTGGAGAACTTTCTACATTCATGGAAGTGGAACGTTAACAGGAGAGAGAGAATGGTTAGGTGATGGCAGCATCATGCCAGCCAATCCCCTCCTGCAGGAAGGAACCACAGCCAATCAGAAACCCAGACCAGGTGGTGCTTCTATGGAGAGGAAAAAAATGGATAACAAAATGTTAACAGTAAATACTAATTCTATCCATTCTTGTTGTTACTCACTGTCTAGTTTGTCCCTATATGTAATAAAACCTTCTAATTTTGATTGTACAATGTCAGTCTGTCAGGAAAAGAATGGGAATAAACCACCAGAGTCCTTTCCGTTTTAATCTGATGGAGGATTCTCCGCTTGCTCAAAACAGAACCGCATAAAGTGCATTTTACATCCTACAGCGAACTCTGTTCGGTCCGTTTCTCTAGCCTGTTCTGGTAAGGGCACCATCTTTGTTTCTTGGCTCTGCTTAAGGATGACCAGTGGTGCCCCCTGCTGGATGGTGGCCAAACTACAACAGTAAAAGCTGTAATCCACAGGCATCAAAGTCCAGTCCTGAAGGGCCGCTGTCCTGTAGTTTTTAGATGTGCCACAGGTACCAAACGCTGGAATGAAATGGCTTCATTACCTCCTCCTTGTGTAGATCAGCTCTCCAGAGCCTTGCTAATGACCTAATTATTCTATTCAGGTGGTGCAGCAGAGGCACATCAAAAAGTTGCAGGACGGCGGCCCTCGAGGACTGGAGTTTAACACCCCTGCATCGATGGAAACTAATGTTAATCTAATAAACCATTAGTCGACATCCATAATAAAACCTTTATATATTTTTCAAAAATACTTTTAAATTGAATAAACTGAACCAATAGAGACTACTGCACCAAACTGACATCCAGAATAGATTTAATTTATAGTTCTTTAAGCTGTTTGGCATCACATCACAAAGCAGCAACCAGTTGGACACAACTGGAGCAAAGATGAAAGTGCGTTGGAGACAGCGGGACAGGAGGCGGCGTCCAGAGTCCTTTCTGTCGCAGCGTTTTAATCTGATGATGGAGGCTCGCATTCTGGCGTTCCTCCACCCTCCGGTCGCCCTTTGTCATACCACTTCCTCTCTTCCCCGCTCCACCACCTTGTGTTGGAGGCCCCGGCCGTAATGGCCGCGCCGGGGCCCGCCGCCTCCTCGACTTCTGGCGTGGCTGTCCCGGTGCTGCTGCGGGGGCCCAGGAGCCCCGATGTGGTGCGGGGTAGGCCGGTAGGGGCCCCTTCTTCTCCCTCGGTGACCCCTGGCTCCATCTTTTGGGCCCTCAAAGTCCAAATCAGTCGGAGGAACCCGTTTCTCTGGTTCCTCCCCGGACCCGGTCTGGCATCGCATCTGTCGGCCACCGACTCCCAGGATCATCTGTGATTGGTCGGTCCAGTCTGACAGAGCGAGGCGCTCCAGGTGCTCTGCGATGGGGGGCCCCTGCCCAGGATGGGGTTTGGGTCTTCCTCCTCTTCTCGGCCCTCTGGCCTGGTTCTGGTGCCTCTGGGCCTGGAAGCCTGGGAGCTGGGACAGTCCAGGAACAAACCGCTCCGATCGGACGCCGGCTTCATCAGAGGAGGAGGAAACCAGGGGAGCGGGGGACGCTTCGACCTCCGGGTTTATGTTTTCAGCCACTGGAGGCGCCTACAGGGAAAAGCACAACCAGAACCAGAGGCAACTCAGATTAGGCCCGTTTACAAACCGTCCCAGAAGTTATTGCAATAAACGATATTGTTTCGAGACCATTTTGAATTAGTACAATATTTTAATGCCATAATAATGCAAAAAAACTATCAAAAAGCTTTCAATTCTAATGTACATTTAACTCTGGAACTGGAATACATTTTAAATATGCAAAATAAAAGCTAAGATTTCTGTCCTCTGGTTTTTGGTAGAGAAAAACGTTAAATCATTGAGTCAGTTTTAATTTATTATGGATTGATTTCAGAGCTTTTTTTTCTCAGCAGCTTTACACCTTCAGAAATCCATTTCACACAGCCAAACAGAGGAGCTTCACAGAACAAGAGGCGTCGCTAAAAAACCAGCTGAAGGCATCAGCCACACAAATTAACAATATAATCAATTCTGTGTTATTAACCTAATCTACAGTTGAAAATGGCTAAATCTGATAACTTACTTTTGGTCAGGATAGTTCAGATTAGCTAAAGAGCAGAAAAACTGGAGAGTTTTCTTTCAATTATTTTTTAAATCCTCTAATATGAATGTTTACGTTTAATCAAAGTTAAAAAGTAGGCTTCTTCTCTTGGCGGCATTTCAGCCCATACATGGCCTGTTTTTTTATTTATATAATTATGGACATACAAATGCATGGTATTACAATACCAGATGCATTGTTTCTTAGTGTAAAAACAGCTTTGCTAATTCTGGTCATTGGAAGTAAAGAGGGAAAGACATCTGAACTGAAAATTAACCAAATGTTGAAGAAATAACCTCAACTGAATCTTATAAGGCAACAGTTTTGCTTTGGCTGTTTTTTCCCCATAGTTAGCATAGTTAGCTTAGTGTATGTAAATTTTAATAATTTTGATTTTAAGAAATAGCAATTATTCTAATATGTAGCCGATAAAATATTAAGTCTAACTGATCTGAAACAGGATGTTCTTTTTTAGCGATTAATGTTCAAACAGTGAGGAAAAAATAGGTTGTGTGTAAATATGTGGTCACCGACTCAGTTTTAATGATTTATTTGGACTTGATGAATTAATTAGGTGGCTGAACGTCGTCCCTACCTCCTGGATGTGGATCAGGAATCGGTTGGATTCCTCCTCCGGGTCGATGATCCCGCCGTTGCACCTCTGCTTCTCCAGAATTTTCTGGAGCTGACCCCACTTCCTCTGAAAGTCGGAGCCGATCGCCGCCTGATCGAGCTGACAGGAAACGGCCGTTAGACTCCTGACCGCCACGGTCAGCACATCGGCACAGAAATACGCAGACACACAGGAGAACATTTCCACGAAGAAAGGCGTACATCTTCAAACTGAAAACTAGAATAATTTCTAAGATTGTGCAGTGAGAAATTTGCAGGAAGTTCTTTAAGACTCAAGTAGTAAATCTAGAAGATACAATTAATTTTATAACCAAAACCGGTTGGGTGTTTTTCAAGTCTGTTTTTGGAAGCAGTTGTAACCCAAATGGAAGTGCAAAATATGAATTTTGCATAATAGGTCACTTATAAAGTTTTTCATACAAATTTCCAACCTTTCAACATCAAAAACATTTTCTGGCTAAAATTTAATCGTCTGTTGCCAAATATTTAGTGTCTTTTACCTACAATAACCCCAATGCTCCTGATTAGCTTCATGCTAGCTGTGCTTACCTCAGGCAGCTCTGGTGCAGGAGATTTTAGAAGCTGGTTTCTGTCATATGTGAGAGGCTCTCTGCAGACCGGACACACCACCGTCAGCTCCTGTTGGAGGAGAGTCCAGATTTAGGAGGATTTTGATTAAACTGTTTGCGTTTTTCTGTCCAGCTGCTGGTATCTGACCTGAACGCTGCTTCCATCTCTGGTTTTATCCTCCTCCAGCTCCTTCTCCCTCTGCCGCAGCTCCCGCTCTGAGTGGACCACGTAGCGGCCAAGGCAGTGGGAGTGGAAGTAGTGGTAGCAACTCGTCTTGGTGAAGGTCTCTCCCTCCTGAGAACCGAAAACGGGAATAAACTCATATCAGAACTGCAAAAACACAAAATCTTTCTTTGGTCTAGCTTCTGGAAGAAATATCTTACACTTGAAATAAGACGAAAGAACCAGCAACTTTTCTGCAAGCTCATCTTGCTGAAAAGTTACTTGTAATTTAGTTTTGTCTGATTTCAGGTGTACTGTAAAGTAGACCAAAAATACCTGGTTAGATTTTGTGTTTTTGCAGAGAATAGGCCTGCCAAGATAAAATTTCCCCAAAAGTTATGATAAACAACAATATAGTTGCTTTGAGACGACTTTAATGGCAAAATAACGCAAGAGCATATTCTCAGAAATCAATTTTAAACTGTCTTCCAGTTTTAGTTTTAAGACTAAAACTGGAACATTTTAAATATTCAAAATAAAAAAAAATGAGCACTGAAATCTCTGTAAACAAAATTATCCCTTAAAAAAAACAAAGACTTTTGTCATCCAGTTTTTGATAGAGGAAAGATAATAACAATAAATCCTTTAGATGGAATTTATTTAGCTTATTTTAACTGATTAGCTGACTGATTTATTGTGACAGCCTAAGCGAGCAAATTTAAGGCATCGGGTTGATGACCAGATCTAACCTTCAGAGATGGAAACACCTTACCTTGAAACCATAAAGGCATATGACACAGTTCCCATGAGGAATATTGCTTTCAGTCAGGATTTCTTTAGCTTTCTGTGTAGATATAAAAGCAAACCAGAGGTCACAGAGATGACAAAATGTCTCCAATAATCTGATTTTTATTTAAAGCCGTTATGTTCTGACCTCGATGAGCTGATACAACACTGGAGAGCCGAGCCAAGATTCAGCCTCCGTCTGGAGACACTTCTGGACGCTGCGCAGAAACGACCTCAGATTATTAAAGACCGAGTCTCTGGGCTGCAGCGACGGTGGCGCAGGAAAGTTTTTACCTGCTGAGTTTATCGTCGGAGAGCCCGCGTGGGTTATGGATGGAGATGACCGGCGATGACGAGGGATACTGAAGAAATGGAAGAAAGAAAAGCCGTCAATCACCTTTAACCCTTTCTGGACTAATGATGCTAATTAGCTTCATACATTTCATATTGTGAATGTAGTCAAATGGTGGAAATAGACACTACAAATTATTGTTCAGTCTATTAGAAGTGCTTTGATGCCATCTAGTGGTCGATGTGTGAACTACATGTTAATGAAAGTGTGCAGTGGGGCAACTGCACTGAATTTTGCTGGTTGAAAACTCAGTAAACATTAATCCTAAAACAGATTCTGTAATAACCCAAAATTACTTCTTTAGATGAAATGGTGCTTTGTAGCGACATTCTGCGAATAAGGAAGGAGTAATATCATTAAGAAATGTAGAAATAATTAATTATGTGCATGTTTTATGAATATGCAACTGAGAAAAAGCTTATATTATAGTACCGTAGTTGTATCTTCCAATATTTATCATAATAGGNTGAAAGCTCTTGTTTTGCAGCTGCGCCTTAGTTTTTACGTTTCTGAATGATGGGTTGAGTTTTGCTTCATTGGTGTTATGGAAATTTCATTATCAAAGAATGAGAAGCTGTTTCAATAATCAGAGAAAGATTAATCTTTGTCTTTAAGTTTCTTTATTCGAAGGCAGAAGCGTTTGAAGACCCGTCTCCTTAGCGCAGTCAGGAGAAGAGCCCTGAACAACACACATCACATCATTATATAGTCACAGCAAGGAAAGGAGCCACCCAAAGTCTGATCTGATCTCTACTGCCAGATGGAGCACAGAGACAATCCTGACCTCATGAACCGTCCCTCACCTCTTGGAGGGGATGATTTTATGGCAGGACAGAGAAACCATAAGGATTTCAGGAGAAACTTCTAATTCTTCTTTGTCAGTTAGTCCTGGGTTCAGGTCAAACCACAGTAAAAAACAAAGTGTCAATTTAACACCTATAGAGTTGAATTTAACTCCGTTTCAGAAAACATTTGGTCCCACTAGAAAACTGTGTAAAATGTTCTCTATAGCCAGTGTCAAATTTTCAGAGTTAATTTTACTCATTTTAGTGTCAAAATCAACAAGTCAGTGAGTCAAATTATTTAACACTATTGTTGTTTTACACTCTTCAGAGTAATACTGTTATTTTTATGGAGTTAATTTTACACTAAATTTACTTAAAAATGTACACTTTATTGTGTTGTTTTTTCCTTTCTCCAGTTTTTTTACACATATACCATATAATGATAAATTTTAGCATTATATAGCATTTTTTAGCCATATAATGCTAAATTTTAGCATTATATGGCTTTTATAAAATCTACCAATCACAATAATCACAAAGTTATAAATTGACAGTGACAACATTTATTCAACTTGATGATCCAGTGGCAAAATCACTTTAACAGTGTCAGGCTGAGCTGCTGTTGCTACGTCAACACCTGAGCTGCGGCTACATCATCTAGCTGCGGCTACAACATTGAGTTCCCGCTACAATATCTGACGTGCGGCTACAAGGCTGGGCAGTGGCTACAACTCCTGAGGTTGCTACCGCGACAACACTTCACCTGAGCTGGACACAGCGCTTGACCATCAACTTGTTCAGATTAAACGGAAATGTCGAAAAGAAATGCGAAGCAAAGCCGATTTATGGCAGAGGAAGAGTTTGAGGAGATAAAGAAATCCTTGGATTTTATGTCTGATGAGATAGCAAAAATCTCACAACAACAAAATCTTATAATGAACTTAATGGGGGAAGTTAAAGAATTGAAGAGACAGAATGTAGAGAAAGACGAGCAAATAGCCTTCCTGGAACATCGAGTGGCTGACTTAGAACAATACAGGCGAATGAATGATGTTGTAATTAGTGGCTTGGAAATGAAACCACGATCATATGCCCAGGCTGTGACAGAGCCAAGCATTACTGACAAAAGGGATGAAGATCAAGGAACTCTCGAAAACCAGGTAATATCGTTCTTCAGTAACAAGGGCATTAGCATTGATAATAATGGCATTGAAGCTTGCCATCCACTTCCACAGAAAAATAAAGGAGTTAAACCTGCCACTGTAATGAGGTTTACAAACAGGACACATAAGAATGAACTCCTAAAACAAGGTAGGAAAATAAGAGGATCCAATGTTTATATAAATGAGCATCTTACCAAAATTAACGCAGAGATAGCAAGACGAGCTCGTTTTCTCAGGAAACAAAAGAAAATACAGTCAACATGGATCTCAAACTGCAAGGTTTATATCAAACTGAACGGTTCACCGGAGAAGCCAAGGTACTGACCATCAGACAAATTGAAGAGTTGGATAAATATCAGTGAAACAGGACAACCAGGCAACTTTTGATCAACTTTCTGAAATCCAGTAATAAATCGAAAATATACACATGAATATAGAAACAGATATTGACCCAGACAATTTCCTTGATTATTTGAATGACAACTGCCATTACTTCTCTGACAACTATAGCCAATGCTTTAATTCAGATCAAGTACTGTCATTCACTTCAACATCCGCAGCCTTTATGCTAATTATGAAAAAATCAAAGAGTATTTAAATCAACTAAAAAAGTCCTTCAGTGTCATAGCAATATCAGAAACCTGGCTCACCTCTGAGAAGGGAGCAGACTTCCCACTGGGAGGGTCTGAGTTCAATTATATAAGCAGAAAGAATAAAAAGGTGGAGGTGTAGCCTTGTGCATAGATAATGAACTAAAATACAAGGTGGTAGAAAAAATGTCAATGTCAGTTGATGATGTAATGGAATGCATCACTATTGAAATTGAGTTTGAGAAGCAGAAAAATATTATAGTCAGCTGTATGTACAGAGCAGCAGCATCTGACACGGACGTCTTTACAGATTACATGGAAAGATTGTTTGCTAAGATTTATCTAAAGGTCATTTTCATCTGTGGAGACTTTAACATTGACATGTTGAATCCAAACAAGGTGAAAAGTACAGCTAACTTCATTGATGCTATACATAGTTTAGGTTTATATCCACTAATTACTAAACCAAGTAGAACAACAACACACAGTTCAACCCTGATTGACAATATATTTACTAATTACATGGAAAGTACATTGAGAAGTGGACTTATTATAAATGATATCAGTGACCATCTACCAGTGTTTGTTATCCTAGAAGAGGTTTCCAGAAAAATAAATGAGGGCACCAACATCACATATAAAAGAATAATGTCAGAAGACTCAATAAGTGCATTAAGAAATGATTTACAAGCAGAGAACTGGAAAGGGTTGTATGAAGAAAAAAATATTGATAAAGCTTTTCAGATATTTATCAAAATATTTAAAACATTTTACGATAAAAACTGTCCATCTGTACCTTGTAATTACAGGCAAAAAAACAAATACAAGCCTTGGATTACAAAACGCATGTAAGAAAAAGAATAATCTATATAAACAATTTATAAAATATAAAACGTTTGAAGCAGAGCAAAAATACAAAACTTATAAAAATAAATTAACTATAATTATCAGAAAATGTAAAAAAGAATATTATTCTAAAATATTAGAAAACAATAAACAAAACATTAAAGGAATTTGGAAAACTTTACAAAGCTTGATAAGAAAGAAATCTTCTAATACTACTCACCCTGACTATATCAATTATAATGACAAAACCCTGAATGAAACAGTTGAGATAATAAATGGATTTAATGGATATTTTGTAAATGTAGGGCCTAAGTTAGCAGAACAAATAAATATATCAAACCCACTGGATATGGATACACTGGAAATTTGTATAAAACTAAATACATCATCTATGTACCTGAAACCTGTAGACAAAATCGAAATTAAGGAAATAGTCAATCAATGTAATACTAAAAAAATCAATGGACTGGAATGAAATTAACATGTCACTTATAAAAAGGACAATCGATGATATTGCAGACCCTCTGACTTACATCTGCAACCTGTCATTTATAACTGGAACATTTCCAAATGCAATGAAAATAGCAAAGGTTATTCCTCTATTTAAATCTGGCAATAAGCATATTATTAGCAATTATAGACCAGTGTCTCTCCTTTGTCAATGTTAGGTAAATTGTATTATTATCAACTATTTGTTATACTGTTTTATATGTTCTTAGTTTATGTACTCTTATTTGGTTTAGTCATATCTTTTAAGGAATGTTTCTGTATTGTTAATCATTCTGGCTTGCTTTCTCAGAGGAGGCCTCTCTGAAGAAGAGCAGTGACAGCAGCTCTTCTCAGAACGGCCTGCTTTGACCTCTTAGATAGCTATAAAACCATCGCCGTGAAGATTCACAACTTGTCCTGTTTGATCCTGGGTCAGGAACTAAATAAGCTAGTGTGAGATAGATTGTGTTGTTAGTTAGCGATAATCTTGGCGCTGTGACTGTGTGATGAAGTGTCTTTCCCCCTCCCTTTAGAGTTCCAGAGCTCTCTGTGATTAGGGATCCTAAAGACAATAAAAAGAGAGGGGCAGGCAAACGTACTTCAGAGCAGTAGGAGATTTGTAACTGAAAGCACATCTCTGTCTGTTCTCCTCGCGAGTATTGAGAATCTAACTCTCTCTTGTCTTTCCTGTGTTATTTGCTGTGTTTCTTTCCTGTGTTATTTGCTGTGTTTAATAGGTGTCAACTCTGACATAATTTGGTCCTTCGAGCCGGATCTCAACATACCGGAAGGATTCCAGCGGGTAAGGTAGATGCCAGTAGAGACCGTGCACGGCAAGCTTCCTAGTGGAAGCTTTTTAGAACCTGTTCAAGGGCTGGCACTCTGCCTGCCTGCTGGGATCTGAAGGTTGACGAGACTCCAAGGAAAGACAACAGGGGTGAGTGATTCTTGGTTAAAAGTGGCGAGTGACTGGGGGTCATTGCGCGTATATAAAACCCTGTAAATTCTAGACTCTAACAGGTAACCAATTAATGCACAAAATCCGCGTAGGACAGCGAAAGTCCTAGCGCAAAATTTTCGCGAAACAGGCGGACGGAGCCTGGTGCTGCAAGGCTGGAGGCCTTGTCCTGTTAGGCTGCGGGGCCTGGTATACCCGTGTTAAACGGACTGCGGAGTCCGGCGACGACAGGCGCTTAAATTCCGTGACAAAAGTGTGAAAGTGAGAGTGATTGGAGGTTTAAATACCACTCGGTATTTTACCTCATATAACGCAGTAGGGTTGTAAGCAGCAAACCTCTTGTGGATGCAATAAGCAAGATTTTCCCACTCGAAAGAGTTGAAGTGGAGAATACCACAACAAGGTATTTTTAATTGCTGGCCTACTGAAACAAACTCCAGTTCATAGGACTCCCTAGGAGTCAACGAACCTGGACCAAATTTAAATAAATAAATTTTTGAAGCTAAAATAGCAAACCAAAGGTAAATAAGTTAATAATTTTTCAAATTAAAATTGCAAGTACTTTAAATAATGGGAAACACGAATTCTTGTAATTCCTCACTTGCTGAGGGTCCCGAAGAGGATGAGAAGTACATGCTGTCCAGATTTCCTGGTAGCACTGTATACATGACAAAATGGCAGTAGAATTATGGAGTAGAGGGAAAATTAAAATTTGAACAATGGCAAATTGTAGTAAAAATTTTGGAGAACAGTGTAATGGAAAAAAGACGAAGAAAAAAGGCGAAAAAGGAGGAGGAGTTGAGTTGTGGTAAATTATGGTTAAAAGAATCCGAGAACTTATTTGTAAGAACGAAAGAAAGCACACGGAATGCTGTAATGGTGCAGGGAGCGCAAGCTCCTGCAGCCACTCCTCCCCCCACCGCTGCAGCAGCTCCGTCTGCCCCAGTATCAGCCGCTGCGGTCTCAGCAGCACGACTGTACCCCTCACTAGACGAAGGGGCCCAAGACTTATATGTTTTCAGACCCTGGACCTTAGAAGAGGCCAGGAAGGCTGTGGAAGGAATAACACCTGCAGCAGAGGATCCCGATATATGGGTAGAAGACATGACTGGATTAATTCATTCCTATAGATTAAATGGGACAGAAGCAGGGGAAGCTGCAATGTCCTCACTAGGGAAAGACTGGGCAAAAGTAAGAGGGAATTATACGGGAAAAATAACTGATCAAAATGGTAGATTAGGCCCAATAAAATACCCTATGGGAGCTAATCCAGAACTGAGTGAAGCATTCAAAGCACAATGGGATCCATTATGTCAAAGAGTCAAAAGAAATTTTCGCAAAAAAGCAAATTACTGCCACTTGGCAGGGATAAAACAAATAGTTGGAGAAAAAGTAGATGATTTCCGTTTGCGTTTTGAAAAACAGTTTAAAATGCATAGCGGGATAACTTTTAATGAAGATGACACCAGTGCATATCAGCAGCAACTGAAAAATGCTTTGCTGACGGGCTTTCGCCCTGAAATTGGGGGATGGATAACAAAACACCTGGTTGAAATTGAAACTGTCCCTGTCTCACAATTAACCACGTGGGCAATTCATGCTGAAAAAATCCTTGAAAAACCTAATCAAGGATCGGATGTTTTTCAGCTGGATGACTTTGGAAGTTTAGGAACCTCTGCGTTTTCCGACGGCTTGATGAAAGGCCGCAGAAAAAGCAGAGACAGAGGAGGTCGCAATAGGCGACGAACCAAAAACAATACCCCACAAAATCCACGCAGTCCAAATGGCTGCTGGATTTGTGGCGGTACTGGCCACTGGGCAAGAAACTGCACTTTAAATAATGCTGCACGGGACAACAGGAGGGGTGGTGGAGTGAGGAGACCTCAAACAGGAGTAATCCTCAGCATGATCAGAGTTTATCACACCCCAAAAAGACAAACCACCACACCAAACTGATGAAATGGTGGACACATGTGCAGCTTGGGACACGTTTAAGTGGAATCATAAAATAAATTGACTTTCTGTGCGATACCGGTGCATAAACATATATATATATATATATATTTTAACGTTACCAAAATTAGGTTTAAAACTCACAAGTGACAGACAATTAATTTTAAGAAATATTACTGTGGAAATGAATTAAACGCCTCTAAATATTGAAAATAATTGATAATTGAATTTAACTCAAATTTAATTTAGAGTTTAATCCTATAAAGAATCTCAAAATTGATTGAAATTGGTTTGGTTTTTGTGTGATTTTTGCTTTTATGAATGCAAGTTAGTTCTATAAAGAAAAACTGCTAAAGAATTGAGTAACGGATGAAACTATTGACCATTTCATATTAGATATAAATAACTTACGTTGTTACCTCGTCTGAAATGTAAGGTTAAGTGAAACTATGAAACTTTACGCAAACCTGGTGGATGAAATTAGTTACTCTAAAAATGATTATGGGTAAAAGCAATATTTTCTAGACTTTCAGTCTACAAGATTTTAATCTGGACTTCAATGATGGTCATTACATTAAAAAGGACAAATTTTGAATTGACGGATTTCAGATTTGATTTAAATTAAATATGGTCATTTTTTTAGCTAAACAGAAATAAAATAGAAATGTTTCACGTTGCTGAACTTAACAAAAGATCTTCAGTAATTATTAATTGTGACACATGG